CGCGCGTTTTTTCTCACGCACAAACTGCATAACGATAAAATGGAAGAATGAAATATAAATACAAAGGGAGGAAGGCGTCGCCAGACCAGTAATAGCGATTGAGGGGGGCGAGACCCAGAATAAGCACCGCCCTCTTTCCGCACACCGTTCTGCTTGACTGTATGGGAGAAAAAAAAAGATGATAACTGAACTCGTTTTGTTTCTTTCGGGCCTTCAAAGGCGAAACCGCCCGAGGCACTCGCATGCGACACGTTCAATTAGGCGCGAAAAACGACGTTAACGTCCGTTGGTTTCCCGCTTACATCCTACAGCATTTTAAGTTTATGTTTACACGGCCGACGATTCAACACATGATGATAACGAGGATGGAACATAAATCGTAAGCTTATTATTTGGACGAGGCCAGACAAGCTGCGCGCGGGACATGTATGCGGGTCAGTGGGCGTGGCTAGCGCTCAGAGTAAAACAAAAGAAAGAGCGAAGACTTCGTATAAACAGCGCGCCCGTTCGATCGCCGTATGATTACACGACGCTAACTACGTCTATCGTGTTTCGCACATCGACACAGGCATTTACGAGGCCGCGAGGAGGCGGCGCTGTCGTACGGCGTCATTCGAGTCATTTGTCAACCCGTATAAGCGATCGGAGGTGTCACGCTCAAAGGGGCACTGGGGGCGAAAACTGTTTACGCCATTGGGAAAAGTAAACGTTCGAGGTTCTCGAGCGTTCCCCTTTGGAAACCTCAAACGATGCACAGGAGTGCTTTAATCACGGAAAAATTACGGCAAGCATAGGAAACGCTATGTGTCGCCAGTGGGACATTCTGGAACTAGAGCCCGATGAGGCAGAACATCCTCATGCAATGTACAGGGGTGACGGTGCTCGGCTGCTCGTCCGAAGGTCGTGGGTTCGATACCGGCGGTCACATTTCGATGGAGGCGAAACGGTGGAGGCCCGTGCATATACTGTGCGACGTCAGTGCACGACAAAGAACTTCAGGCGAAATTTCCGGAGCCCTGTACAGCGGCGTCCCTCGTAATCATAACCTAATTCTGGGACGTACAACCCCGCATATTATCATTATTATCCTCATCAAATCATTTACAAATACTTCAAGTATCCACGATAAACAAGAACCACTCATACAAAGGAAGGAATAAAACGCAACTTGTGCAGATCAGTTTGATTGTCCGAAAAAAAAAAAAAGCTTCATGGCGTTACCTTTCAGCACGACGCAAATTCTGTTTACGCCGGGCTGTATACCTCGCTCAGCTGACTGCCGGGCAGCAGAGGGCGAGAACGTTGAATGATCTGTCACAAGGCCGTTCTTCGAGGCGGGCGTTTTGAATAGCAGGAACGATAAACGGACCACTAAAATGTCATTTTCTTTCAAACTAATCTATGCCGCACAAAACAAGCACTAGAAAGTTTCCGCAACGTTATTTCAACAATCCGTGTTGAATTAACATCTGCTTCTTACGTCTTTTTGAGGGCCTTCCATCGACCGTTGTTTACGCCGAGGCTTACTGAAGTACTGCCGTTTTGTCTTTTCGCTTGTCCCCTACAGCGAACACTTCTGCGCATGCATATTACGCCGTACGCATTCGTTCGAACTTAAAAAGTAGGCAAATAAAAACATTCCCCTTGAAACGCGGCGCGGAGCTTTTTGTTTGTTGCTTTAGTTTGCAAGTATCCGTATAAATGGACCACATAGCGTCAGTACGCGCACGTTATCATTTCCGAGAAAAGTGATGTGTCATGTTAAGCTTGTGACCATAACAATCCTCTGAATGTAGCGTTATGTTCGAACTTTGTTATGTGGCACAGTCATGTGGATGACTGAACGTTGTTGTTATATGAAGTATATACAAATTATTGAGCTGAAGGGTGGAAAAATTGCGGTGACCCTAATCATCGACTTAAGAGAGATGTGGCTATAAGAGGGAAAAGAAGAGAAAAGTGGGCCCCGTAACTGTCTGCATCAGGGTGCGACACCTCAACAGTACCTCACAAAGGATGGGGGTGAGGAGGGATTAAAAGGATAGAACTGAAGGTATATATATAGAGAGAGAGATGCGCTGGGACAGCGAGCGAGGACATATCGAGGGGATAGGAGAGACAGGAAAGATGGAAACACGGTCACAGGAGTCCGGGGACGGGGCACCACTTGCGAGAGCTCTTGTCGGCATCAGGAGATGGCGTAGGGCAAGTCCAGTAGGTCAGAGTTACGCTGTCGTCGGAGATCGGCGTCAGGAGATGACTATAGGGCCAGCCCAGTCGGCCAGAGCTACGCTGACGTCGGAGATCGCGAGGGCACAACCGGTCGGCACGGAATAGCGTCATCGACTAAAGGCCTGACCAGACGTACGCGTTGCAGCGCGTTAACGCGCGGTTTCATGAAGAGGCGCCACGCCCTCTCCTTATGGAGAGAGAGAAAGAAAGAGTGCACGCAGCTTCGCGTAGCGCACGCACTCTCTCTCTCTAGGGAGGAGGCACGGCGCCAAGTGAAGGAACCACGCGTTAACGCGCTGTGCAACGCGTATACGTGCGGTCAGGCCCAGTGGCACTCGCACCTCGGTGTTCGTGCACCCTGGTGCATTACTTGAGCTGTGTTTCATCGCACTGCCCAAAAAGATCACGGAGGCCACGTAGACATAAGCACGTCATAGAGATCAGCTCCGACAGGCACCTCAACGATTTCAGCTGCTCTCTCAACTTGAACCAGAAACATCGATATTGTACTAGTTTTATTTTTTAAGATTTTCTGAATGCTCTGTAAACAAGAAGTGAGTGCTCAATCAGAAGTGCTCGGAAGAGAAG